AGAAAAGGGAGTTACTCACCTCGTGCAGTAACGAGTGTTCTTCGAGATGTGTGTCCCCGTGGGTGCTCCACTCTAGGTGAAGGGTCGCCCTGAGCCGCAGATCGGAGCTTTTCAAAGCAGTTTTCCCCCTGTTGAGCCACGCATGCCCAGAGGGCGTCTCGAGCCCTTCCCGCCCTCTGCAGCGCGCGGCTCAACCCCCTCCCTTTCAGTTCCTCGTCTCCGCCCGAGTAATTTAGACTCCGTGCAGAGGGGAGGAAGGGAGGGTCGTGGAGCACCCACGGGGACACACATCTCGAAGAACACTCGTTACTGCACGAGGTGAGTAACTCCCTTTTCCCCCAGGTGGGAATGCAGTAACAGGTTTGCCTCAAATGGAACTTTTGCTTCTGTTGTTAACTTGTAAATGCACATTTAGATACCTATGTTCCAAGATCCAAAGCTCCAAAGATGCATGGTCTCCTTAGGGCCCGGCCTACATTCCTCCCTCCACCCCTCTCAACCCCATAGCAGATTCTGTGTGTAGTAACATCATGCACCAGTGAAAGTTTGAACTATGTTTTTATTTATTGATTAAGGCTTTATTTTTCAGATCAACAACAACCTGGCTCACAAAACCTTTAACGTCAATGGATACCCTGTGAAAGAGACACTAGTCATGGAATCAACTCTGACCAAAGCCCTGTACCTTGCACCATAACTGTCTAATCAATGGAACACCCGCTGCCTCTGGAAGTGCACAAAATACAGTGAATAAAAATAAAATAAGTATAGATAATAATGTTTAAATAGTCACCCTCGTCCAGATTATAGCAAAAGTCTTCAGGATGTTCCTTTTAACTAACCAGTGTTATTACAGCATTTTAACAACTATTTTCAGCACTAGCTTTTTTTTTTTAAGTACTATTTTTAGATAGAACTTTTTACAAGATCTTTGGGGAAAAACAGTTAAAGATCTTGTATTTGTCATCTGCTATATATTTTAATTTAGAGAGTTTTTCTGTTTGATCAAAAACTCCTTCTAAATGGTAACAGCTAAGACCACCATATTCTGTATTTAGCTTCCTCTTATTATAACTTAAAACAGTGTCAGGAAAACAGGGTGTGCCTAGAATGGGAGTGCTTCTCATAAAACCAAACAAAAAAGAGGCAGAATCACCAAATCAAATACAGTCCTCAAGACTGGCATAACTGAGCAAATGTTGAAAGAGACCGAACCAAGATGAGCAAGAAAAATAGGATGAACCTGGAATAGGCTTGCTTTTCAAGAAACTTCAGAAAAGAGATAACAATGGAGAAATCTGGAGTAGTGCTGTGTTTTGTCACAGCTAAATCAATGCTTAAGTTTGGAAAATTAGAAGAATATTATTGGAACCTGTCATATGGTTCGATATATTTTAGATCTAATGGAAACCAGTACACTTTAGGGTTACTTAACCACTTTCTTATGTATTGCAAACTTTAAGCAGTTAATACAGTTGTTTTAAGTTTTACAAGCCTTAAGAACTATTACTATACAATTTAAACCTTAAATACTATACATTCTAATGCAAATAATATAGTGCAAAGCAATGCAAAAGCAATTACTAAAAGATCTACTATATACAATAATAAAATCTAATTCATTTACACTTCACCCGTATACAACCTACAGTCCCAGGCAGAAGGTTGTGGTTCCTTTTCTTCCCACGCGTTGGAACGCCATGCACTGGGCCGCCAGTGTGAAGGGCCTAATTACTTCTAGTTATATCGAGCAGGACATATGGGTCAGTCCTGCCCATTCCCTCCCATTGATTGTTCTTACTAAGTCCAATTTATAGCAAAGCAAGACTTGGTCGTTCTAATAGTTACCAATTGATTAGTGTTGTGTAGGATACGTAAAATGCCCAATGCCCCTATTTGGGGTACGTCCTGCTACTCAGGATGTTGCTGCTATGTGCACAGTTGACAGTTTCATGGTTGCATCTGTACTCGTTAACAGAAACAGAAGTACCAGTACAAGGCCGCTTGTCCTGTGTGTTCTTGACGTGGTCTCACATACCAGGCTTGAGACAGGCCAGAAATCCACACTTTGGACAACGCAGACATCACCGTTTATTGCCAAGGCAGAGTAGTGCAGGTTGCCCCGCAGAACCCAAATTGACTATAGCCCTTTTTTGTTAAAACATAGCATATGATAAGAGTGCATCGGGGAAAAAATACACTTGATGGAATTCTCATTTTAAAAATATTACTAAAAAATTAAACAGAAAAAATAACAATTTAAGCAATCCTAAATAAAAATTAACTTAATAATATTAACCTTGTATTTTTGAAAAATATGATTTTTAAAAGGCTTGTACATTTTCCTATTATGTTCCAGAATCACCCCCAAAACCTTTAATTGAGTTAAAGACCCAAACAATGCCGAGTAAATCTGCTAGTCTCTCTCTGGCTACAACTACACTATGAGCTTTGCTGGAAGAGGCAATGCAAATGAAGCGTGAATTAGCATTTTCTCACTCTTCATTTGCATATTCTCTTCCAGTCCGTTTTGGTGCAAAAACAAGCAATGTGGTAATTTCCTTTTTGCACAAAAAACCCTTTTTGCACAAGATCCTTATGCCTCCTGGGGATGTTGCACAAAAGGGGGTTTTTGCACAAAAAGGAAATGTCCACACTGCTTGTTTTTGCACAAAAACCAACTGGAAGAGAATATGCAAATGAAGCATGAGAAAATGATAATCCGTGCTTCACTTACATTGCCTCTTCCGGCAAAGCTCATAATGTAGTCCTGTGGTCTCCAAACTTTTTACACCCAAGATCACTTTTTAAATGACAGACCAAGCCAAGATCTTGCCCAAATATCAGAAAAAAAACCTTCTTTTGGGGGCCCCCTTATTCCTTGTGGCAAGAGGAGTATAGGGGTGACTAAAAGAGCCTGTTTGCTCTTCCACTAAAAAAGCAGAAGAATAAATGCAAACCTGGATGCAGAAGAGTTTTTCTGGGATAGCTTCATAATCCTGAAAAACTCCTGCAGTCTAGCCAGACCCTCACTGGATTGAGACAGGATGTGTAGTCTCTGGGGTGGGAATGAGGGATTTGGGTGTGGGAAGGGGTGGGCAGTGCAAGCTCTGGGAGGAAATCTGGATGCAGGAGGAGGTGGAAAAGGGGACGCTGGCTCAGGGAGGGGACTCCAGGCCGGGCAGTGTTGGGGTACTAAGCAAACCACAGGCTTGTGGATGTGAGATGCAGAAATTTGGGTTGGGGGATGTGAGGTGCAGAAATTTGTGAGGGGTTTGGGCAGGGGGTTCCAGTGTTTGATAGGCTCAGATCTAGGGTCTGGGGAAGGGGGAATGCAGGAGCGGTTGTGGCCAGATGGGGGCTTGGCCCCAATTGAGGGTTTGTTGGCCAGGCTTCATTTTTAAATAAAATACTATGTTAAACACAAAAAGTTTCTGCATTGTCTTTATTTATAAGAAGGGCAGGGAACCAGCCTTGAGTCAGGGGTCACTGACACATAGAAAACTCATTCGGGAGCAGGGGACACAGTACTGGGGAGGGGTGCTAGTGGGTTCTGGGGCAGGGAACAGGGTGCCAGTGGGGGCAGGGTGCCAGAAGGACAGGTTTCTGCAGTAGGGGACAGGGTGCCAGGGGGAACTGGTTTCTGCAGAGGGGAGCAGGGGGACAGGTTTCTGCAGTAGGGGACAGGGTGCCAGAGGGAACTGGTTTCTGCAGGGGAGGCAGGGTGCCGGGGGGCAGGTTTCTGCAGCAGGGTGGGGGGCAAGGGAGAGGGAATAGGG